ATCACAACACCTAGATCTGTCGGTAGCTTCTAAATTACTGTAATACCCCCTTCTCACCGAAGCCGTCGACTCTACGATTCTGTGGATCCCACCTTAATTAATTTGACTTCTCTAGCTAAATATAATTATGTTTTACAAAGTTTAGTGACAATTTATGAACACATTTTTACGAGTTATATTTGTTGCGTAATATTAGTTCGTTTATACTTTACAACAAAATATATTATTCTGTAGTTTGACCCCAAAAAAAAAAACATAGTATTTTGCTGATTATTTACAACGATAAAAAGAGAAATGAAAGTATGAAATTTAGTTCCAAATTTATCGATCAACCTCTACTAGTAATTGTTCTTGTAATTGTTCTTCTATTGCATTTTCAGCTAAATTTTGCCGAAATTATAAAAATAAAACGAAAAAAAAAAATACAAAACGCAAAGAAAATCAATTTTTCTTCCCTTCGTCACCACCTTCTTCCAAGTACTCTTTCTTCCTCCTCTCCGCACTAGACAACACACAAATCAGAAGAAAACACGTGGCATAAACTCCATGCACCTTCCAGTTCGTCTTCGGAGGCTGACGAAGCACCACCCTATGAAACACCGTCACATAATAATGCAACCCCACAGCAAACCCAACAAACGTCTGCGCCAAGCCTAATACCTTGAGAGCCAAGCCACAGTCCGTAGAGAAAACTAGAACAAGGTACATGAGAAGAACCAAGAGGTAAAACACGTATCCTAGGGTTTGCAAGATCTGCAAGCACACGTAGGTCGAGCTCGACGTAGCGTAAAGGAACTTGAGAGGTTCGATGCCAGTGATGATCGATGAGAGGCATAGGATTGAGAAGTAGATGGAGAGGTAGATTTGGATGAAGATTAGGAGTTTTTGGAGTGAGAAGTAGGCTTTGAAGCGGTTGAAGACGAGGGAGACTAGGAGAAGAGGGACGAGGATGAAGATGAAGGAGACTACGGAGGCGATGGTTGGTGCGTATTTGTTGCCGAAGTAGGGTTTGAAGTACTTCTTGGTGATCTCTTTGTTGGCTTTGTTGATGTAGCTTTTGGATGTGGTTGAGATTTTTTCTAGGTCTGGGATTAGGGTTCTTTGGAATCTTGTGGGGAGGTCTCTGAACTCGTTGACGAAGTCGTCGTCTTCCTCGTTGTCTAGCCAGATTGGTTTTATTTCTTTTTCGGTTGGTTTTGGTTTGGTTATGGGTTTTGAGGAGGATGGTGGTTTCTTCTTGTCTAGAGGAGGAGGAGATGGTTTGGAGCTTGGGGGTTTTGTGGTGGTTTTGTTTTTTGGTGAGGTTGATTTGGACAGATCTGATGACTTCTTGATTGAAGAAGTAGAGTTTGAGGATTTGTTTCCGGAACTGAGCTTCTTGATGTCTGATCCGTTCTTGGTTGTGTTAGAAGAAGATTTGGTGGAGTTAAGTTTGGAAGATGTAGTCTTGGCGAGTTTGGTCTGGTTCTTGGTGGAAGAAGAGATCGGTTTGATGAGCTTGGTTTGATTCTTCTTACTACTAGGTGGAACAGAACCAGTAAGCTTCTTCTTCTTAGGAGGAGGAGGATTGGTTTCATCATCATCACCACCAGGTTGCAGATCTTTAACCAACAGTTTTCTCACTCTAACATGTGGATCTAATGATTGTGTTTGTTGTTGGTCATCATCAACAACAGTTTCTGATGAGGCTAAAGTACCAAAGAAAGAAGAACAAGAGAATAGGAAGAGAATGAAATAGAGCAACAACAGTAACTTTCTAAAACACAAGTACTTTAATGTAGCCATTATTTCTCTCTGAAACCTAGGAATCGCCTCACTTTTCAGACAGATCTTGCGAAGAGATATCGCAGGCTTGTCAATATATAGAGAAAAAGTGGAGAGAAAAGCACTAGTGACACTATGCGTATGTCGGTATGTATGTATATATATATATGAAGGTTTGTGTATGAGTGTGAACGAGAGAGAGAAGATGGAGGAGACAAGAGAATTTACTAGTTCTGTGGTTTTGATAATCTCAATGTACATTACTTGTTTAACCTCACCGCCATTTTGGAGATTCGCTGCTCTGCTTGTCTTATTTTTAATAGCATTTTTTTATTTATTTTCAATTTTTGATATGTATGTGAATGTTTTTTTTTTTGTAAACGATATGTATGTGAATGTTCGTACACCGTAATAAGTAAGAACATGAAATAAACTGAAATTTTAGTTGTACATGAGAGAGTCGATGTTCAAAAAAATCTTTGAGCACTAGTTAGATATTTTATATGAAGCACTAGTTAGATATTTTATATGAGATTATCGATTAGGCTGGCGTTTAACCATTTTTTTAAAATCATTCTAAAAACAGTTTTTTCATCTCATTCATCAACTAAACATAATCTTATATCTAGACCAACTTTTAGATTACTGTTTTAAAACAATTTCCATAATTTGGGAGATCTAGTTATTTTAGCTCACATCTTTTTTTCAAAAAATAGTTACCATAAGTAGTGTGTGTATTTTAATTTGCCTTGTTTTCAACACTTCAACGAATACATAGTTTCATAAAATATACACACTCAACAAATAAGAAAATGAGTGTGAGCAACTCATCAATGCAAACATGTAAGGAAATATAGAAGAAGGATAAGAATTTAATGCGAAAGTGAGAAAGTTGAGATCACTCACATGGACAACCAAAATCTACATTTTTTAATTATCTTTTTCTTTCTTAACGCGCTTTCATTTGGTTTTTGCTCATGTGCTTAGCAAATTATAATCAAATAATCGTAGTATCATCATGATGCATAACTTTATTGATAACTTACAAATTGCATATTCATAATAATAATTGACTGGCTAATTGTTAGTTTGTGAACTATAGCCTCCTTCGATGTTCAATTTTTTCTATTTATTGTATGATATAGCATGTACTTATATATAATCAATAACTTGAATGTAGAGATAGTCACATGGCACTTACGTATCCCTAAGTTTGATTCATTTTTAACTTGACTTTGAAAAATGTATCGAATAATGAAATCGCTTGCTTGTATTCGACTCATAGTAATTCAAGTACATATATATCGAGTCTATGGGGGAATACACAAAATCAAAATGTCCATGAATTTATTAACTATCAGTTTTCTTATGAACCCGTTGGTGAATCAATTCAATTAACTAACACAAAGTGTTGTTATCATGAGTATTTTACGTATGGTGCATGTTAACCTCGTTAGTTGTTGGTTAGGGCATTGGTATCGGTGAGACTCAACCAAGGTCCCTTAGTTTTTTTTTTTCCGATTTAAGAAAAAAAAATTAAAAATGAATTAATCGCAGATCCCCACGTGTATGTGGAATCCGCAAACAGTTCAAGGGACCAACCAAACTTGTCTCTTAATTAAGGGATTTTTCTTCCATTTTTCCCTCAGTTTCCACGTTTATTTAGGTACCCTCCCCTAAGGGATCCTCGATACCAATACCTTTAAGCTCTTAAGCTTATCTTAGCTAGATTAAGACTTGTATATAGAGGAACTGTACAGTTTTGAATTAGTGTTGAGATTAATCATTTCATAACAAATTCTCTTTGGCATCTCTCCTTCACTCTCTCTCAACATTCGAGTATGGGTATTGCATGAATATTTTATAACAAGCAGATCACTGTCTTATATAACAAACGATTTGAGTGTTAATTTTTTATACACTATCTAACTCACGGCGTACAATTACAAACACTCCAAAGTTGTTTGATAAACACTACAAATTCAATATTAGTTTTCTTAAAACTATGACAAACACGCTTAAAGAAAAAAACAAATCAAGATAATAACGATTTGCTGTCTTTTTGGTTGGACACCTAACACTTCATCGCTCATTTGTCCCAAGTCAATGATCGACGACTTTTGACTCCATGAGGCTTTGACTAATGGAGTTAAAGAGTGAAAATCATGAGAACATAGCTAGATGCATACAAGTGCGATAAAACCTGAAATGTTTTTTTCATTTCCCGACGTGGAAATGACATAATCACAACCAACTCGACAAGGTTCGCTTTGGTGATAAAACCTGAAATATTGTAAATAGAGAGATACCTCGTGACTTGAATATATTTATATAAAAGATTTTTTACTAGTTGAGTAGGTAAAGTAATTTTTATCGAAAAAGTAATAATGTTAGCTAAAAGAATATTTTGATTCGTTGACCCAAAGCCTTTGATCTAGAATATGGTGTGTACCAAAACTCGGGAACAGATCCCAAACTGTGAATGTGGACTTTGGACTCATATATATAATTGGAAAATAATTGACAAATTTTTGGCACACTATATTTAATGTAACTTGTAATCATGTCATGCAAATAAATAATTATTTATAAGACTTATATTCTATATCGTGTGACATTTAAATAACTGTTCATCTGCATAACATTAATGTTTTGTCCCCTAAATCGCCGGATCCTATGCAAATAGTGGGAGAAAGCCAAGAGCATCTCTAAGAACCAAATCTATAATGCTAATTTTTCTACATCTATAGCCAATCTTAATAGAAGCTTTACTTTAAAATACATGTAATTTGTAGTAGTATTAGTTTTATTGAAAAGCTAAAGGAAACATACGTTTTTTTTTGTTGTTACAAAACATACGTTTTCTTAAATCGTTTGCTCAAATGAGCGAGGAGGAAGGACCATGTGCTAAAATGAGCGAGGAGGAAGCTCTTGGTAGTGAACCTGTATCACAACTTTTTCGCGGGCTTCACGCTACGTGGCGGCCCGCGATTGGTACACTTAATTTTCTTTTTCTTTTTTTAAAGAAAAAGTCAGACGAAAAAAATAAAAAAAAATAAAAAAAAAGTTTTGAACCCCTTATCAGGTTTATTAATGGAGATGGTCTAAGCATGTGCCCGAAACTTAAACGGACCTTGACTAGGCCCATTTAATAAAGAACATATCAAAACCAACAAACAATCCAATCACAACAAATTTTCATAACGTGCTCTTCCACGATGTTCTCGGACTCATCAATGGATCCGACTCCACCCGAATCCGAAACCCGACCCGAATTCACCCCCTCCTCCGCCGATTCCACCGTACAATCCATCAATCCAGTTGAATCTAGACCCGAAGCGACGACGCCCTTCGAATCAGTCCCATCACGATCCAATTCCCTCGACGAATTAACACACGACCTAACCTCCCTCCACGACCTCTCCACCAGAGGCCAATACCAATCAATCCTCGAAAAAATCTCCCAATCAAAATCCCTCTCCCTCCTCACATACCCCCACGAGCGCCTCACCTACCTAACCTACCAAATCATCTCCCTAATCAAGCTACGCCGCCTCGACGAAGCCTCCCACGAGCTAAACTCCCTCCACGACCTCGACGGAGAGCATTACAGGTACGAAACCTTCCCCGAGATTTACCCTAACCGTAAGGGATCCATCGTGCCTTTCTCGTTACGTTGGATCCACGCTTTGGTTCCGATTAAGCTAGGAGATCGCCAGGAAGGGTTAGATCGGTTGTATACATTGCTTGACTTCGTTAGAGAGAGGATTAAAGTTAAAGAGGCTCATGAGCTGTGGAGGACAAGAGAGGTTTTTGTGATGAGTTGTTTGTTAGGGTTTCACTTAGGTCACAAGGAGTTTGGTGTGGCTTTGGAGTTGGTTAAGGAGTTGTTACAGCGTAAACCTTTTGATCCTGTTTTGGTTTCGAAGCTAGGGTATGTTCAGTTACAGTTCGGTGATGTTGAAGGAGCGAAAGCCACGTTCCGTCGTGTTGAGAAGATGGGGGATGAGACTCCTCAGTTCAAGAATCTTGTGGGGAGGAATAAGGCTTTGGTTCACGTTGTGGAGAAGGACTTTGTCTCTGCTGTGAGAGAGTATGAAGAGTGTATTGAGAGGGATAGCTTTGATGTTGTGGCGGTTAATAATAAGGCGCTTTGTTTGATGTATTCGAGAGATTTGTCTGATGCGATTAAGGTGATGGAGAGTGCGTTGGAGAGAGTTCCGACGGTGGCTTTGGATGAGAGTTTGGTTGGGAATTTGTGTAGTATGTATGAGTTGGCTTATGTTAATCATGGTGATGTTAAGAAGACGTTGAATGATTGGATCGCACGTGTTGCTCCTGATGACTTTGATTCTTCTTGTACCAGAGTTTAAGGTATTGTTGTGCTCTTCCATTCTTTAACTTCCTTTTAGAACTGAATCACTGATTGGTTAAAGCTTATGGTTACTTGGATAGGTTGAGAAATAGTAAGCGATCTAGTTAGGTGGACAGGAGAAAAGATTCTTTGAGACTTATTGATGTATTCTTCCTAGTTTGTGAAGCTGAACTAGTATTTTGAAGTATGTAAATTGACCTCTAGCATTCAAAATTGCAGGTTTTAAGCTAAACAAATGTAATTAGCCAAAGACTAAGAAAAGAACCAAATCTTGATCTTGCTTGGTTTGGCCTCAGCTCGAGTTCTGTTGATACGAGTAATGACTACATATTGTTTGTACATTCTCTATTGTGTGAGTTAGGAAATGGTTGTTACTCCCAAACATTGGGTAACGTTCTTGCATGCTTTGCCATATCCCATCTTCGTATAAAGAATTTTTTGCTAGTGCTGTTAAACACTAATGAAGAGAGTTTGTTGATTCAACACTAATGGTGGATTTAAAGCCATATATTTTTGAGTAATTCAAGAATAAAATATTCGTTTATGAAAGTTGATTCAATACAAGAAAGATTTGTTGGGGAAAAAAAAAAAGGAATAACTTCTCTTACAGTATGAATCTACCAACGAATTCTTTCATAAGAACACTTTGTATTATTGGTTTAGTTAAAGAATAAGTAAAGATTCTTACTTACCTACACAGCAAAGTTTTCTCCATGAAGCTAAATAACCACCAAAGTAACCTTCAACACAAACCTACGGTTAGCTTGTGTCACAAGTAACAAGCCCTAACTCCACAATATATACACATACGTATGCTTTGCAAACCGCCGAAAAAGAAAAACAGAAGTTGATATGGAGATCAAAACATTTCCCAGCGAAATCGTCTTCTTTGATCTAGAAACAACCGTACCAAACAAAACAGGACAACATTTTCACATCCTAGAGTTTGGTGCAATCATCGTATGTCCAAGAAAGCTAGAGGAGCTAGAGAGCTTCACAACGCTTATACAGCCGAAAGACATATCGGTGGTCTCATTAAGGTCATCTAGGTCAGATGGGATCACAAGGGATAAGGTCAGGGAGGCACCAAGTTTCGAAGATGTGGCTGAAAAGATCTACAGTTTGTTGAACGGTCGGATTTGGGCTGGTCATAACATTAGAAGATTCGATTGCGTTAGGATTAAAGAAGCTTTTGCTGAGATTGGTAAAGCTGCGCCTGAGCCTTCAGGGATCATTGATTCTTTGGGGTTATTAAGCGAAAAGTTTGGTAAAAGAGCTGGTAACATGAAGGTACATCAGATATTCTTCTTAATTGATATGGCATGTTTTTTTAAAAAAATTGATTAGAGACCAACTTTTATTATAAAATCACAAAGTATTTGATAAAAGAGAATTTACATCATGGTCCTTGCAAAATCTAAAAGACTAAAACTGTGTGATTAACAAGTTTATTCATATTCTGTTGTAGATGGCAAGTTTGGCTGCCTATTTCGGTCTTGGAGTGCAAAAACACAGGTACATAAATAATATTTGAGTGTGTGTGTTAGTACATAAGTAATATTTGAGTGTGTGCTAATGTTATGTTCTTCGTAAGATAATGTTACACATATACTGTATGTACGTTGATAATTGCAGGAGTCTTGACGATGTTCGAATGAATTTAGAGGTCCTCAAGCATTGTGCAACAGTGCTTTTCTTGGTACGTCGTATTCACATATTTTCTTTATTATTTTTTTCATTATATATATATCAAACTGATTCATTTATTATATGACATGTATTTATACAGGAATCTACACTTCCCAATCAACTGGAAGGACAATGGCAAAGTTCTTCAAATATCATGACAAGAAGTCGAAGTAATAAACAAATTGCTCCAAGGGTTATGCCTTACGTGAAGGGTGGTGGTCTCGGGAAGGTAATATTATAGTACATAAATTATGTATAAGATTTTGCTATCTTTTAGTTTTAACTTACGTTTTTGAATTAATACAGATGACACATAATGTAAAGAAACTCTTAAGCAAAGCTCAAGGCAACTTAGCTCTTCAAAACTTGATCAAACATTCTCATTCTTTGCTTAGATGAAAAGGAACTCAATTGTATATATTGTAGAAGTACTTTCAACAGTTGTTAATTAGCTATACATGGGTCAACATTACTAGCAATTTTATTTATCAATAAATCATGTTTCAGTCGGAAGTGAAAAATTCATCAAACAATATATGTCCACCTCAAATTTGAATAGATTTATCCATAAGAACAAAAAAACTGTAAAAGGTTGCAATTAATTTAGACAAGTTATATAACCAATACCTATAAATGGTTTAAGCGTGAAAAGACAAATCCAAAGCACACACTATTAAATAAGTAAGACATAAAACAACATGTTCAAGAACTGGTTGACGAATAAATGCTTACAGATTTGCATTCTGTAATAATCATTCATTTAAAATAAATTAGAATTAGAAAGCATAAATTACAAATAACGGTTATAAGTTCACACCAACAAGAGGTTCGTTGCTAAACTTCTGTGTACCAGAGAAAAATAGTCAAAAAGTGGGGTCACCGTCAGGGAATCATAGCTTTCGTTTGATGTTATCTTGACTTCCAAGGCTCCAATGGTGGAGGAAGAGTTGACATTTACAAAAGTCAAACCGTTGAATTTTAAATAATATCCAAATCTTTATAATAGGTACTCAATGTGTTCAGTGGCCACTCCATCACCATGATCTTGTCCATATACAATTAGAAAATAAATTTAAATACACTTCTGGATTGACTTTGGAGATTAACTATTGTTCACGATAAGATTAGGTTGTCATGCTAATATGATTATAATTATATGGCTTCTTAATTTCTATTAGATTAGAACAATAAAGGATTATAAAAAACAGTGTACATGAACTTCATAATCATTCTTACAATTTTAAAGTGAAAGGTTGTAAAACTTGAAAATTTGATGCGATAAGTTACGGTCTAAAGATGTGTTTTGGGTAGGACTTTCTATAAGATTTGTGTGTGGGGTTACGTGTCTTTGCCATATTCAAGATCATTATCTACGAATATTCTTTAGTTAACATTCCCGATTAAGGATAAAAACTATCTTTTGAAGGAAAAATGTAGAAAGTTAGGAATCTCTATCGGCTACTTTATCAAAACGTGTAATACGAGTTTATCTCGATAACATTAGATCAGATCAAAGATAGGGTTCTTTCTTTAGCTTTTGTCACTTGTCAGGTCTTATTACAGAACCGAGAGATAGTGACTTCCATGTTGGATCTTACGTGTGAACACGCCAAAGCAGGTCCCATAAATTTTCTTTGTTCTCTAAATAATTGGCCCCATATTGGCTTTTTCGCGTAAACTATAGCTTTGAAGAATCTTTTTTCTTGAATTAAGACAATAAGAGAATACATTTACGTGGAGGTCTGATCTTAATTGTTATAAAACTCACCGTTAATTTGGAATTTAATGTTCTTTTTGGTAATAAACGTGGAGGGAAAACAACCCTGCTGATGTAAGAAAGTGGTGCTTTATCAGTGAAGAAAGAATATCCATTTTGTGACACAAACTTTTAACCACCGTGAGTACTCACCTCTTTCCATCAACCTCCAATAGCTTTCTTGACGTTCTCGCACTATTTTTCTTGCTCATAAACTTATAAGCCTTTTAGTTTAATGTTTTTTTGCTAACTTCTTAGTTTAATGTTAAATTTTGATATTCCCCACTTCAACATAGATTTATATAAGTTTCAAAAAACACATATTTTTATATGCATGCCGATTTATAATTTCTGATGAGTTAAACTTCTGTAAGGTCTCAATACAGTCTCATGGATTGGACCACACAATCTAGCTTTTGAAACAGGGAATAGAATTGTGACCACCAAATATTATGATCGTTGGTATTACAGCAGTTTATTCATTTTGTTTGCATAGATGATATATCTACTTATGTATAATAGTATATGAAAATTTCATGTTATTTGTGTTATAATTGACGCAATGAAGAAAAAATATTTTGGCAAAAAGAAAAAAAGTGATCTGGCAAACTGGCCTTTCAACTTGCCTTAGAATCAACAACACCACTTTTAGCTCTTATTAATTATTTTTGTATACTTATTGCTGAATAGATTCTTTCAGCATTTTATTGAAAACACCTTCCAAAACAAGAGTGAAACATCAAACCAAAAACAAAATGTGAATAGAACAAAAGCATCAAACAAAATGTAGACAAAGATATAATAATGGAAAAATTGCATTGACATACATTATATAATTTAAAAACATATACTATAAATTCAATGGAAGGCTTACCTTCTCGTATATATTATATATAAGCAAAAGAGTTCGCTTCCAGCATAACCAAAATCAACAAAAAAAGAAGAAGAAGCAAATTTACAGAAAGCAAAAAACAAAAATCACCAAGTATAAAACTTCTTATTTTCAATTCCGAAGTTTTCATTTGATATATTTCAACTTCCTCTTTACAAATTAAGGTGTGTTTTTGATCCTTCTATGTTACCTTTTCAATATAAAATTTAAACAGCTCTTCTTGAAGATCCATGGCAGCCATAGATCTCTCAGAACCTTTCAAAGAAGAGCTCATGAAAGTCCCTAAACCTTTCACCAACTCTGTTTCTTCTCTTTCTCCAATTCCAAACTCAATCTTCGGTTTCAACCAAACCACACCTCTCGGTCTTAACCATCTCACACCTTACCAAATCCACCAGATACAAAACCAGCTTAACCAGAAACGCAACACAACCATCTCAACCCTCTCCCCAAAGCCAGTACCAATGAAGAACAGAACAACTCAGAAACTCTACAGAGGAGTTAGACAAAGGCACTGGGGAAAATGGGTTGCTGAGATCCGTTTACCCAAGAACCGGACCCGACTCTGGCTTGGAACTTTCAACACAGCCGAAGAAGCAGCCATGGCTTATGATCAAGCTGCTTACAAGCTCCGAGGTGAATTAGCAAGACTTAATTTCCCACACAACAGGCACGAGTATGGCGAAAGCAGCTTCAAGCCTCTTCATCCCTCTGTTGAAGCAAAACTCGAGGCGATTTGTCAGAACTTGAGAAAAACAGAGGATGATGATGATCTCCCCTGTTCTGAAACAGAGCTTTTCCCGCCAAAATCAGAGTATCAAGAAAGTGAATGTAAGTCTTTGAGAGCTGACGAGAGTTTGTTTTCTGATGAGTCTCAGGTGGGATCTTCGTCTTCGGATACGTTCTTGGATTTTTCGGATTTAGGGTTTGATGAGACTGGGAGTTTCGTGCTGGAGAAGTTTCCTTCTGTGGAGATTGATTGGGATGCGATTAGCAAGTTGTCCGAATCCTAGGAGTCTGTCTTCGACTCAGTGTCTATTGATGTCTCATATTAGTTACTTAATCTCTTCAACTGAAATTTTTACAGTTGCAGAGACTAGTTTAAGGCTAAAGAAGTCCTTCTCTGTGTATTTGGTCTAGCTGGTTTATGTTTCTTTTATTGTTCAGAAACCTTGTCATTGACCAATCAGAGAAGGGTTTTTTGTGTATGCTCATATTTTAAGTTTTATTGAATGTATATATTATTACACTTTTATATTAGTCCTTTTTATGTTCATTTTTTCCTATTTCTTCTAAAGAATTCCCGTTCTCAAATATGAATATTTAGTCACGAGATTATTTAAAAAAGTTGTATATTGTATTTGTGTTTATTGTGGAAGGAAGAGGGCAAGAGAGGGGTCCGCAATTGACATACAAGAACACATAAACCACAGAGTTTGATTCTTTAAGGTAAAGAATCTTTGCAATACAACAAATGTGGCAAAGGTTAAAAATTATGTATATAACTAATTTAAAAGTCTATATGTGGCCAGTATAGTATTGTTATTAATATTAAACATATAAAATAACAAAACAGCCTTATCCAACTCCAAGATTCTTATTTTTTTCTTTCATCACAAAAAAAAAAATAAGTGTTGTTCAAACAGCCAAAAATTGAAATGGATGTTTGTAAACTTTTGATTTTTCATAACTAGTAAATCTTTATTTGTACTGGCATATACTTGAATAAACTTATGATGCATATAACTAAATAGTTAAATAGTGGTAACCTAATAGTAATCTCTTGGGACTTAGTGTATCTTCAATCAATTTTAGATTCGATTTCCCTTCAGAAACTAAATTATTATTGTTTAGTCAATCAGAGCTTTGGATTCGGAACAAGTGATGATCAGTCTTTTTCTTGACATTAGACAGAAGACATTCCAAATTCGGATTAGAAAGTATAATAATCCGTCTATTATGTAGCACTTAATGTGTTTTCTTTAGATTAGCCGATACGTATATATATAAAAAAAAAAACTTATGGTGCATATACATAGACATATTGATCTATAAGAAAACTTATGGTGCACAGGCATAAACATATTGATCTATATGTTTAGTTCTTTTGAAACATTTATTGATTCTAATTTGTTGAAATCTTATACAAAAAGTACCATTATAGGCCTTTTGAGTATTTGATAACTTCTAAGGAAATAATGGAGATTATTGGGCCGAAGTATGGATGGATATGTCTTGAAAAGATTGGGTTTGGCAATTAACGGGTTAAGTGTAGCGTTTCGCTTGTCTAAGTCCTGGTTGACTCTGATTCGATTTGTAAACCAGGCCCGATAAGCTTTCAAAACAAAAATATTTTTGAGAAGCTGATCGGCAGTGATGTAACATTAATGGAAACTTCACTCATGTGTCGTTCATTAGAAACTTCTCTATATTAACTATTTTAATTTGTTTGATTGATGATATTTTATTTTTAATTTATTTAATTCAGTTTTAAAAGTAAATAAATAATTAACTTACCTCAACAACTAAATAAATCATACTTAACAATAATGACTATCACAAATATGTATTTGAGAAAATTGTGTCATCAATTCTCAGATTTGTATCATAAATTATTTTGTGCATTTAAGAAAATAAAGATTTTAAAACTTTCTCCTCCATATTATAGATAATAGTAAAAAATATAATTAGTGGTTAATAATTTTATTACTTATGTATTATAGATAATAATATACAAAATTATATATAATATAATTTACAGTACAAAATAAAATTAATTATAGATAACAAACATATCATAATATATATTAATTGAGAAATCATTTACGTGACTTTTGCTTATGTACTGATCATAAGTGAAGTTATTTTTAAAAACTATTATAATTTGATTGGTTAATGTTAATGATTTTTATTAATTATATATTTTAATCATATCTACAAATAAAAAGAATCTTCAGAACCAATTAATACAAGTTACCAAACAACATAAGTAATCTTAAAACTTAGAGGTGTCAAAATAGACCAAATGTGTCAATTCAACCCATAACCCAAATGAGTTAACTGTTAATGCGTGTTATAAATTTATTTATACAACTTATAAAAATTAGAAATCGTTTTAAATGCTTTAAAATCTATTTAAAATTGTAGAAATGTATATTTATAGTGATTTATAAATCATACAGAATTATTTCATAATTTCATTATAATATTAAAATAGAAGTCATTTAAGTGATTTTTAGTTACTCCACTACAGATGAAATTTTAACGACTGTTATAATTTTGATAAAATTTAGATTTTTTATCAGTACTAAAATAAAAATTAATTCTAAAATCAACCATTTTCACTATTATATTGGATTACCTTAGTAGAATCTGAAAAAAAAATTTAATGATATATTTTATTGTTAAATCATGTAATCAAAAGTTGTAAACAAGGTGAACCACAAATTTATAAATAGCTTTTTTAAATGGTTAAATATAGTTATAATTTTATAAATGTACATGTATAAGATTATACCATTTTTATTATATATTAAAAGAGAAGTTATTTAAGTGATTTTTGGTTGCATGCATGTTCATAGGTGAAATATTTTTAAAAAAATTGTTACAATTTCAATATTTGATGATTTTAAATTTTATTTATTTGTGTAATACATAAATAAAAATTAATTCAAGAATTTTTAGATTTGAATACCTTATTCATATAAAAATAGAATGTAATGTTTTTATTATATATGAAATCTTTAAAATTGCCAAATATTTAAAAGAAACACAAAAAAAAATTTTTTATTTAAATTTAACATAAACTGAAAACAAGAAAATTAATCAAAAACATAAGAAAAATAAATAAGCAAATCTGATGTCAGAATTATGAAGCCTCTGGCCTCTTGGAGCGAGAGGAAAAACATTTTCTCTTTCTCTCTCCGTTTTGACGTGTTAAATACTCAATTATCTGAACTAATTATAATATTAGTTCTGATGTAAGAGAAAGATTTTTGGTGACTTATATTTATGTGATTTAATTATCTTAAATCTCATAGTTCTTCTAAAAATGTATACTGAATTTTATTATTATCAATTATTTGAAGTTAAAAATTATAATTTAAATAGTTTTAGTTATTATTCAAAGTTCTATTACTGTATAATATAATATATATATATATATATGTATTGGTTTAATATTACTACTAGCAAAATATTGGGCAAACACCTAGTTTATAGTATAACCCCTATAAATTAATATTTTATAAACTAATAGAATTCGTAAATACTAAATTAAATCTGATCAGTGGAAGTTAGTACAGTGGTTTGATTAAGAATTTAATAATGATCCTACATCAAGAAGTTTGAGTTTCAATTCGCAGAAAAGATGGAATTATCTAAATTAATAGAGAAAATGCTTACAAGAAATTTGTTGCATGGCGCAAGGTATTTGGTCAAATGTAGATCTCATAGGATGGTTCAGGTGGTACTGTCAAACGTAATTCCACAAAAGGATGTATACTTATCGGTTGTTGAATCGTCTGTAATATTTATCTTAGTTTGTAATAACATAATTATCCAGCGTTAAAAAAATAAGATCTGATCTTTTTATTAACTGACATATCTCTAAACTAATATTATATCATAATTTCAATGTAATAGTAATAGACAATTTATATATTTTTTCTACAATATTATGCAGTAGTCTAAGATTTGCGCCTTATGCGATATGAATATTGTATTACTTATTATACGTTTTTTACATATTATAAAACTAACAAAATAAATATATATTATATAATTAAAAATAATTAACTATTATGTATATAATTAAATTGGTGCAAACACATCAAATCAATCATTTTTGTTTATTTACAATCATTTAATGGTAAATAAATCTAAACATTAACTTTTATATATTTTGTAGGAATATAATTAAATATAAATGATATTAACATAGATATATTATATATATTTTAAATTAGACTTCTTAATCATATGATTTAATGATTATTTGTATCTTTTTATAACAAAATTTATATCCCCGTGATAACAAAAGTTTTAATATGATATTTTTAATAGTTTTGATAATTTATAATCGTTATCGAAATTCACTAAATTTCAAAATAATTTTTATTCTTCTCAATTCTTTTTCAATGGAAATTTTAAAAGTAAACTCTTTGTGCATTTTATATGGTATATGCTTGGATATGTATATGGTTTTGAATATCTATTAAATTAGACTTTTTACTCATATGGTTTTATCATCATTTAAATCTTTTAATAAGAATTTTTTAACCCATTGATCACAAATTTTTAATGCGGGACTTTTAGCAATGTTATTACTTTATATTCATTTAAAAATCAATTATAACATATACACATAACTGAAAATTGTTAGTATATGGTTAATATGATTGTTTATTTTATGTTAATAATATAAAAGTAAACATAAAGGATGGAATATACACAACTTTTAACAAATATTTATGATTGAATTTTTAATTTCCATATATATATACTTAATCAAATTAAGTAATCTCATATCATTTATTTAAGGAAATAATGAGAAATATGAAATTTTACATTATTAAAATTTTATGATTAGTTTAATGAGAACTATAATATATATTTAATGAACCGGCATATTTCTCTAGCGACTTTAAAAACATTTTAGTGATCGACATATGTCATATAATATTTCTCTTTTAATATATAAGGAATATGATTTTTTGATAAATTTTTGATGTGTTCGATTTAGAGATCAGCTTATGATATTAATTAAAATATATTTTAAAAGTAACTGAAAAAGTTTTATTTGATAAAAAATATTAAGAATTTTGTTGATTAATTAAAAGTTTAAAATATATATTTTTACATATATATTTAGTAAAACATACTTTCATCCAGTTGGTAGTAGATATATATATATATGATCTAAGTGTTTGTAATGTAGATTTAGACGTGTATACAGTAATATACACGTCAAAGTTTAATTATGTATATATATATATATATATATATTTGTGTGTGTGTGTGATAAAGAAGGGTACGTGCTTGGTCGATTAAGGACAAAATAAAGAGAAATTAGAGGATATTTCAACTTTATGAGTTTAGATAAACTAATAATGTTTTGTTTCTGTATATATATACCGAATCATATAAAACAAAAAAATGAAGGGCTTAGGGTTAATCTCTAATGCAAGACACGTCGAAAGTGAACAACTCCAACGCGAAGCTTACTATGATCCATTTCTTATATTCTTTACAAATATCACAATCAGCTCAACTAGTTTCTGTTCAAATCC